TGTGGTGCTGGGGGATTGAACCGTGGTCCCTGTGCTTTGCTAAGCTTGTTCTAAGTAGGTGCTTTAGACCACTGAGCCATCTCACCAGCCCTGAGTCTTTGTTTTTTGAGACAGGTTTTTACTATGTAGTCCAGGCTGCCCTGAAACTTGCTGTGATCTTCCTGCCTCAGCCACTGGAGTGTTTAGACCTTTCAAAAGAGATTACCGACAAGCTCAAGACCATGAACAACAAAAAAAGACCATGTCCCGCCCTGCTTTCTGTTCCCCTGGGAGAGAGAGCAGGGGCACAGAGGAGTGTAAATAGGTCCATCAAACAGAGGTGTGGCGAGGAACACTGAACAGGGACCACGTGCTAGGTGCTCCCTGCTATCTAAAGACTAAAGTTCAGACTTCCAAGTCACTACAGAATCCCAGCCTCGCTTACTGCATTCAGCCTTCTGTGCAGCTGCCCTTGGGGTCAGGGGAGCATGGGTTCAGCTTGCTAGCACAACCCGACACGTCCTCACTTTCTCTGCCTGTAGAATGGGAAGGAGAACACGCTGCTGTGTTCAGAGGGGGCTTGAACACTCACCCTAGGCAGAGGGGTTAGTGGGCCTGACCCTCCGTCTGGCTGGAGGGGGAGGCTCTGTGGTGGGCTCTTCCCAGGAGCTCCCCCATAGTCTCTACCTGGAGAGCATCACAGAAGGTTCTGTGGCAGGGAGACTTGATGTTAGGGTTCCAGGGCTCACCGGGGGCCATAGCCCCAGGAGGGCAAAGGTGGAGCTTGGAAGTGGTACTTCTGCTGCCCAAAAGAGCACCTGTCAGCAGCTGGTATCCTCAGGCAAGTTGACAGACCAAGGACATGGCCTGAGGACCAGACGTGGTGTGAGCATCCTGCCCTCCTCAGCCGACTGAGGCTGCAAAAGCTCCCCTCCGTCCTTGCATGCCAGATAACATCTGGTGAGGATATGGGATGGAAAATTTACTCTTACTTGCTCAGTCAGGGATGCGTTGTGTAGTCCAGGCTGGCGTTCAATTTATGGCGATTCTCCTGCCTCAACTTTCTGATGGTTGGGATAAATGAGTGTGTGCCACTCTATCTAGTTCAACATTTACCATTTTTACTTACTTTCTACCTTTTTTGAAAAAAGTATCACCAGGCATGCTAGTGCACTCCTGTAACCCCAGTGCTCAGGAGTCTGAGGCAAAAGTATTACTGCAAATTCAAGGTCAACCTGGATCACACAGATAATTCAATCTAGTCTGAACTATATAGTGAGACCCAGCCTCAGAAAACAAATCGTGAGTGCCCTGCTCCTTGCCCTTAAGTATAGTCACAAGGACACATAATTGTCACCCTTATGATTTTGAGAAACAGAGCTTTTCCATCAACCCAAACAACAGCTCTTTACATATTAAGCAATACTGCCTGGTCCACTGCACACTTAGCCCCTGGTAACTGTTCCACTTTCTGTCTCTGTGAATCGCCTATTCCACATAACTCATGTCAATGGAATCATGCAATATTTGTCCTCGGTTTTGTTTTGTTTTGTTCTTGAACCGAGGGCCTCCAAGCTGAGCACCATCCCCAGCCATTTTTAAATTAAAAAATTTGTTTTTGTTTTGAGACAGTGTCTCCCTATGTAGCCTAGGCTGGCCTCAAACTTGCCTGCCTCAGCTTCTTGAGTTTTGGGATTATAGGTGTGTGCCACCACACCTGGCTAAATTTTTAAAATTTGGGAGACAGCTAATACATGTGAGTCTTCTACCACCTCGTCATTTCTGGCCTCTGCCTGTGCACATTCTCTGCAGCCAGCGGTGGGCTCCATCCCAGTCTCCAGCTGGTTGACCCATCCTTTCTCAAGACCCTGAAAGCTCTTTTCGGACCCTCTGTGTGGTAGGGTGGGCAGAGGCTCCTCCCTTGCACTTTCTGTGGTGCGGAGAGCACAGGTCTGTGGTAGCTGTGCTTCTGTAATCAGCTGGTTAGAGTCAGCCCCTCCCAGCAGACTGTGCACTCCCTGGGGAGGGGCTGTGGACCTGGCTTATTCATCTTGGTGTCCCTAGCCCCTAGCCCTAATGTGGTGTGGGAAATAACAGCTATCCTTTGCTGTAGAATGGGAAGGAGAGTTCCCTGAGTTCAATCCCCAGTACAGGAAAAAAAAAAAAAAAATTATGTAGTCCAACTGGCCTTGAACTCACTATGTACCCCAGGCTGGCATTAAACTAGTGGTGATCCTCTTGCCTCAGCCTCCTGAGTGCTGGGATTACAGGTGTGCACCACCACACCCAGCTGTAAGTTTTAATTTTTCCAAGAGTCTTGTGAGGTTGGTGTTTGTCCTATTTTATAGGAAACAAAATCCAAGAACTAATCACTGAGTGAGGTCAAAATCTAAACCTAGGACCGCCCGGCTCCAGAGTCCAAACTATACCATGCTGGCTGAAGCAGGAGTGGATGGTTGGTAGATATATGGCACTGTTGGCTGGAGTGCCTGGGCTTTTATAGTTGCCTACATGGAATCTATGCCCATAGGTAACTTATTTTACTTCCTCATTTGTCTGGTTGAAACAGACTTTAATAACTCACTTCCTTCTTATGCCCACTTCAAACATGGATAATGCCAACTTATCTTTTTCACACACAAATGTGCCACCTTACGTTTTCCCAAGAATATGGGAGCATTTAAACTGGTTGGAGTGCTATGTGCCTATAGCCCAAACTACTCAGGAGGCTGAGGCAAGAAGGGCAGTAGCATACCAAGAGCCATCACAAGGAAAGGGCTTTAAACTCCCTTGGCTGTTTTGGTGTGGGGGTCTACCCCTGCAGATACATACTTGGTTTCTGTGTGTAGCAGGCCTCGAGCTATAATCCTTGGTCCCCTGGCCAGAAATCCATGCCCTGGAGCCAGACATGGTGGCACACACTTGTGATCCCAGCATTTGGGAGACTGAGGCAGGAGGACTGTCACAAGTTCAAGGCCAGTCTGAACTACATAACAAAACTCTGGGTTCAGTCCTTAGTACCGCCCCCTCCCCCTCCAAAGTCCTCCGAAGTCCTTGGGTATCTTTACAGTGGAGCCATTTGTCAAAAGCCACCTCTCTCTGACAGAGTTGCACAGAAAGGCTGAGCTGAGCACTGAGAAGCGCTGCCCCTGCTCTGGTCCCCAGCTGGTTCCCCACTACCCTGAGCCCTGGGGCTTCCATCTGTGGAGCTGCATGGGCACAGTGCCAGGCCAGATGGTAAAGATGGGAAAAACTGCCAAGGAGGAGGCAAACAGGAAACTGCAGGAGGGGGGTGTCACTGTGGGGGTGGGGGGCTGGGCCACTGTCACTGTGGGTGTGGGTGTGGGGTGGCCCAGCCCCCTACCCCTGCCTTAGAGAGAGGTTAGGTTGGAGGGAGACTCAGGAATGAAAGAAAACAGCAGCTGCCTCACAAAGGAGGGCTGCTGAGGTCGCCAGGGAGCAGGAGGGGTGTAGAGGAGTGCAAAACCTCAGAGACGCGAGGAGCAATGCATTGATGTGGGGACGCGACCACACCATTGCACACACGTGTGCACAGACACAAAGCAGCACACATATGTTAAGTGATGGTAACGTGCACGCCAGTGTTCGTGTGCGTCCTATAACACACAGGGATGTCTCAGCCCTCCACGCTGGAGCAGAAGAGAGAACAGCCCCTGCCTTTTACCCAGAGGCGTGAACTGAGTGGCTCCCAAGTGTGTCCCCCTGCAGACTCACACAGCTCTCCACCCCAAGGCACTGGGACAAACAAAGCACCATCTCCACATCTCCACAGCAGCATGGGAGGGTGGGGGGTGGGGGGAGGGGAGAACTGTGCACCCCACATCTCAGGTCCCACCCCACTCCCACACTGGAGATCCACAGCCCTCTGCCTGTTCCTCTGTCTCTGTCTGTTGACTTCCCGCCTCACTTCAGAGCCCACACCTTACCTCCACAGGGCTTCTGGGACTTGTCCCACTGCCCTCTGAGCTGGGCTGGGTGCTGTACTTGGCTGAGATAAACCAGAGGGGTGGGGCTATTTTCTGCCCCAGACAGGAAGTAGAACCAGGGAGTCAAAGTGGGCAGGAGGCAAAATCATGTTCATTCTCTTACTGTACCCACAACCATGGTCTTGGTGCCACCTCCTCTGGCGACTGGCCAGCAATGTGAAAGGAGTTGAAGACAAAGGACTAGGTGATTTAGGACAAAGATGGGGACAGGCGGGAAGACAGAAATACCCCTTCTTTCTCCAATTCTGTCTGCCCCATCTGTCTGTGCACCTCCCCTTTCAGAACTGTCAACAAATAGCCTGCTCTCACACACTTGTCACAGTTTTGCCACCACTGCACTAAATGATCTCTTTTTGCCTTTTTGGGGCCATCTTGGGCCAGGGAGACAGCCCAGTGGCATAAGTGCCTGACTGGCATGCGCAAAGTCCCAAGTTCGATCCCTGGTACCACAGGAAAAAAAAAAATTTACATCTTTTTGCCTTCTACGTAGAGTCAGAAATTTAAAAAAGACTCTCACATCTGCTCATCTTCCTTGCCCCTAAAGATCGGCTCTAGGAAGTGCCAACCTTGTTTAGATTCTCTTGGCCCATCAGGGTGTTGTGCTGGACACAGGAAACATTGTACCCTGGCGAGTGCTCCAACCCACTACTTAAATTAGCTGAGCCCACTTCCCTCTGTGTCTGTGTTTAGGCATTGTGGCAAGGATGCAGCCCCTCAGACAGGATGAAAGCTAAAGACCAGCTCAGGGCCTCGTGCTCAGGCTTCCCACTGGGTCCCCGACCTCTGGCACAGCCTTAACCTTATCCCTTTGCCTTGTGAACAGCTCAGTCCAGAAGCTTCTTGGGGGCACAGATGAATCCTGCTCAGCAGGTCACCCTGGATCTGAGGTGCAGGGTGAGATGGAAGGCTTGTAGTATGGAGATAGCCCAAAATCCCCAGGATGTCCTGCCCCAAGGGTAAACGGGTCATCTCCTGGGTGCCCAGAGGCCACAGTCTTCCTTAAGGGTGGGCTGTGTCCACAGCCCCCACACACCCATTCAGCACTGAAGCCTGTCTCTTGTTGCCTTCCAACACCATCCTGGGCTGTGTCTTCTCCCTCCTTGGCCACATGGATCTCTTCCCTCCCATTTTCCTGGGAAAAGGCAGAAATCAAAGGTGGCCTGTCAGAAATCAAAAGTGATTTCCCCAATGTGTGGATGACACCTCACCACCTGCACATCCTCCTCCAACATGCTTTCAAGAAACAGAAACAGGAAATGAGGTCCCAAACAAGAGAAGTCATTGCATTAGGGCCCCTCCCGTGTCTGTCCGTCCCCCCTCCCCCACCCTGCCCTATGGGTGCTGCCTTTACTTTAAGCTCGGAGAGCCTGGCCCATTCTTGACAATCTCCATGGAGACTTTTGGCCTCTGTGACCTTGCTTTGAACCCAATGCTGGCATCCACCCTTTTTTCCTCAGTGCTGGGGACTGAACCTAGGACCACACATGCTAATCAGAGACTCCACTACTGTGCCCCGCCCCAACCCTCCTCTACTTTTTTATGGGTGCATATTGGGGGTGAAAAGTGGGGAGCTGAACCCTAGTGTCTGGGTGGCCAGGAGGTGAGGCTCACATACAGGGGTCTCCCTCTTACAACTTAGGCTCACCCTAAAAGGAGATATTTGGAGATCATCTGCGAGGCCATCCGCATCATGGAGGCCCCACAGGTATGGGTAGCAGGTAGGTGGCCTGTTGGTGTGACACAGAGGCTCCAGCAAGCCCTTTCCATGGTACCTGCCCCTAGGCTCAATATTGGAGCTGCTCATGAGCTGCATTTTGTCACAGTTCTAGGGACACAGAGGTTAGGTGGCCCTATCCTCTTCTATAGGTGATCCCATTAAAATGTCTTAGGAAGTGAATGTGGCTCATCTGCCCACCATGCTGCAGGCCCAGGGTTCAATCCCCAGCACTGCGAAAAGGAGAGAGACAGAGACATAGAAAGACAAATAAAATACACTTGTGTGTGTGGGAGACATATATATATATATATATATATATATATACTTGGATGCAGGCAGGGGTAAAGAACACCTGTGATCCCAGAACTGTGGGGAACTGAGACAGGAGAATCGCAAGTCGGCGACCAGCTGGGGAAGCCTATGACTGAGTGAATCCTATCTCAAATTTAAAAAAGGGATGGGGATGTAGCTCAGGGTGAAGGTCCTGGGTTCAACCCTCAGTACTACAAGAATGTAAACACCATGGCTACCTGGGAAGGCTAATAATAACAGCTGTGCCAGTGAACCCCTCAGCAAACTTGAGTAAGAGCAGCTTTTAATCTTCTAGAAAAGCCCCCACCCCCGGAAGTGGGTGTGGGAGATGGGGCTTGACAGAGTGAAGGGGGGCTCCTTGGGAAGCTGAGGGCTCAGCATGAGAATGGGCACCAAAGTTGAGGGGAGGGGCAGAGACGCCCAGAGCAGAGGTTTCATTTCTGAGGGGCACTCCAGGGTGTCAGGCCTGATGGTAGCCTGTCAGGCTCCCTCTGAGGTCTGCTGGAGGCACTTTTCTCTCTTCAGAAAGGTTTTCAGAACCAATGGGTCACCTCACCTCCGTCCCCATCATAGACCCCATTTGCACAGGCAGGTTGCTGCCCTGAGCCCTCAGGCCCACACCACCCAGCACGCACCCCATACCTGCACTTCCTTTGTCACTCTGCCGCTGCTCCAGGTTGGGTGGCTTCTGCTACCTGCTCCGGGCTGGGCTGGCAGGACCTGCTCTGGGTCAGGCAGGGGACACACCCACCTGCCCCATTCCTCACAGCTTCTTGAACTTACCCAGCCCCAAGGGATCAGGGAGTCAGAGGAAAGGGAAGCTCAAACTCAGATGCCTCCGCTGAGCAGCCCAAAAAAAAGACGGGCTGGCAGCAAACAACCTTCCGTAAAGCCCTGCTGCTGTGCTTTACTCCCAGACCACACGGGACTACACTGCCCCAGCTTCCGGGAACTCACCGGGCACACCCACCCCATGATACCTGATGACTAACCCACCACCTCTGGCTGTTCTGTCCCTTCCCCCTCCACGTGCTCTTCTTCTTGGGTCTGCCAGGTGGTTTAGCCCAGGCCAGCAGCGTTCTGCAAGTCGCCTGCCCCATGCATCACAGCAGTACTGGGCTCAAGGCTTCTTCACTCCCCTGCCTGGGAGCTCAGGAAGACAGGGGCTCACAGTACAGCCCCTGGTTGCTGAACTCTCCAGCTGAGGAGATGAGCACAGCCCCTCAATAAACATCATGAGCCCTGCTCAGTAACACAAAAAGCGAAACTTTTTCATGGTAAGAAGAAAAAGTACCATGGCCAGGCGAGTTTGGGAAACACCAGGTTAAAGTTACCACAGAACTTCGCAGATTAACGTGCTGTTGAATGATGTGCTGATCATGCAGCTATAGGCAGCCCCACGAGGGTGCATTAGGCTTGTTTGTTTATGCAGTGCTGGGGTTTGAACCATGGCCTTTTGCACCTTAAGCACACATTCTACGACTGAGCTACCAGAGTGTGTGGAGGTGGGTACCTGAGATGAAACCCAAGGCCTGCATAGGGAGCTACATCCTTTTTTTTTTTTTTGGTGGAACCGGGGATTGAACTCAGGCCCTTGTGCTTGCCAGGCAAGCACTTATTCTACTGAGCCATCTCCCTGGCCCCTACATCCTTTTTTAGCCTTTAAAAAATTTTGCTTTAAAGTCAGGCATGGTGGCACACACCTGTAGTCCCACAATTAGGGAAGCTGAGGCAGGAGGACCACTTTAAGTTCAAGGCCAGCCTAGGCTACAAGGTGAGTTCAAGGCCAGCCTGGACTGTATAGAGAAACCGTATTTCAAAAAAGACAAATCAATTTTTTTTTTTTTTTTTTTATGTCGAGACAGGATTTTACAAAGTTACCAGGCTGGCCTTAAACTTTATTTATTTATTTATTTATGTGTGTGTGTGTGTGTGTGTGTGTGTGTGGCCAGCTCAGTCCACCAGGGGGCGGGGCTGGCTGGCATGTGGTGCTGGGGGATTGAACCGCTGTCCCTGTGCTTTGTTTAGCTTGTTCTAAGTAGGTGCTTTAGACCACTGAGCCATCTCACCAGCCCCTGGCCTTAAACTTGCCACCCTCCTGCCTCAGCCTCTCCAAATGCTGGACTTTCAGGTGTACACACCACTTATTTGTGTGCCTGTTTAAATTTTTCCATACTAAACACATTTTTGGGGGGATGCTGTTAATTACCGTTTTTTTTTTTTTGTGACTAAAGTATTTTATTAAATTAAATGTATGATCTGCAAATGGAATTACTGTTGAGTTTATAGAAGCGATTAAAGTTTCCTCCAGAAAGTACTTTGGGAAGTTCTGACTTGTTCAAAGCCAATTGTAAAGTTGTGTATTTCAATGTGTGTTGTCAGGATGTAACCGTTTCATCATTCAGATTATCTGGCAAGTTCCTGTGCGAAGAGTCACTAGGTTCTTGAGCTCCAGGCTGCACCTCCCAGAACCCTCCCTCCTCTTGACAAGGACCAGCCACACCTACTCCTGGAGGTTAGTCTCCCTGGACAGATCATGTTCTGGGTTTTACCCTCCCTCATCTGAGATCATGGGACCCAAAGCTTCAGATATGAAGATGCCCATGCTTTTTGAAACCCCTTGCCTGCACCCATGGCTTCCCTCAGTCTGGCTCTCAGACTGCTGGGTGTTCTGCTTCCCCAAGTACCATCCTTATGCAGTTCTCGAGACTGAGGACCAATTCCCAGGGTGCATGGGGCAGTGCTGAGGAGGGAGCTCAAACCACAACAGGCCACATGAGCAGAAAATAATCATTTTATGTAAAGACATTCATGAAAGCAGAGGAGCTCCCATCAGCCCCAGCCCAGGGAAAATGTACATTCGAGCTATAGAAGAGGCCAAGAGGGGCAGCCTGGAAACAAGTGACAGATGAGGTTTTGAAGCAATGGATGAAGAATGTGGAAAGGTCTGGCTGGGAGGGTGGGGAGACCAGGGTGGACCCAGCTCATCCGAAGCGGCTTAGAGCCAGTGTGCTGAACTCCTGGCTCCATCGAAGCACAAGGTCCTCACCTTTGCTTGGGGTTAGCACGTTGTAGGTTTCATTCTGCATGCATCTCATGCGGGACACCTAGGAAGGGACTGGGCTGTGGTCTGTGTCCCTGAACCAGCACCCAAATTGTCACAGCCCCAGGGGGAAACTTGGATGAGACACCAAGTGACCCACCCCCACCTCTGTTTTGGAGATGAGAAGGCTGAGGTTCAGAAGGAAGTGACTTATCATAAGCTTCTGGGTGAGTAAGAACAGGAGGCCACAATGAAACTCAGCACCCAATTCCCAGCTCAGCTGAGGGCTCTACCTGCGGTGTCCTTGGGCCATTCTTCCTCTGAGCGCCAACTTCCCCTTGCCTTGCTGCCTGGGAGGCCTGCTTACTCCAGGACTGCAGCAACAGAGGCTGCCTCTATAGAGGGCACTGCCCCAGATGCAAAGAAAGTGCCTGGGCTGGCCCAGGGGATAGCAGAAGCTGGGAGCGAGGTAAGGGGCTTACCTTCCGGTTCCGGTTTTTCATCAAGCACTGTTGGCTTTTGAAGGAACAGTAGTTTGGGTACTGGATGTAGTCCGTGTCACAAACCTAAGCCAGGGGCAGGGAGAAGCAGTCAGCAGAAGCCAGGCAGGACACCTGCTTGCAGAAGGAACCTGTGACACAGAGCCAGGAGTGAGGCAGGCCCCTCGGGAACTTCCTCACTGTAGGGCAGCGCTATTCCCTCCACCTCTGGCACAAGTCCTGAGAAGCCAGGCATCTGGGAGAGTCAAAGCAGCCACCTAGCTCCCTGGGAAGGAGACTAAGGAGTGGAGATGGAGAGGGGGTGCTCAAGGCTCAGGATGGCTGGCATGCACCTCAGTGGTTGAATGCTTGCCTTGCATGTAAAGGACCTGGTTTTGAACCCCAGCACCTTAAGAAAAAAAGCCAGTTATCAGGGCCTGCGTTCAATCCCCAGTTCCACACTCAAAGAAAGAAAGAAAGAAAGAAAGAAAGAAAGAAAGAAAGAAAGAAAGAAAGAACCAAAAAATAAAGATCAGGAGTTCTCATGGGGATGGTAATTGTGGGAGAGGTGGGCAAAGCTCTTCTGTGTGTCACTGTGTAAATCACTTGCCTCTCCGAGCCTCAATGCCCATTTATAAACCCAGAGTAGTAGAGATGACATCCAAGGCTTTCTCTAGATCTGGAGTTCCAGGACAAGGTCCTTCAACCCAGCTGCCAGCTCTGTGTGTGTGTGTGTGTGTATGTGTGTATGTGTGTGTGTGTTAGTACTAGGGACTGAACCCAGACCTTTCCCAGCTACATCCTCAGTCCTTGTTTATTTACTTACTTACGGAATCCTACTAATTCCTTAATTAGCCTAACTTGGACTTAAATTTATGATCTTCTTGATTCAGCCCCTCAGAATTCTGAGATTACAGACATGTACCACCCAGCTTGTTTCTGTTGTTCTGGAGCTAGGGGTCAAACCCAGGACCACAGATATGTTAAGTATACACTCTACCCTTTGGGTGCTACATCCCCAAGCCCTTTTTACCATTTTAATTAGTTTGTAGTTTTTATTATTATTACTAGTATTATTATTTGTATTTTAGGAAAGGGTCTACAAGGTGTTCAGGGTCTCACTACTAGATCAGACTCATAGTGATTCTGCCTGTTTATAGCCTTCAAAAGAGCTGGGATTACAGGTGCATGCCACCACACCCAGTCTCAATTGCCATCTCAGCACAATGTGGAAGTGGGGCTAGCACGGGCCAGGGCCTGCACGGGAGGCCAGGGATCAAACCCCAGGCCCCTGCACCTGCTGGCAGGTGCTTCAATCCGCTGAACTATGTGGCCGGCCCTTGTAGTAGTTTTTCGTTTGTTTTCTTTCTTTTTTGAGACAGGGTCTCATTATGTAGTTCAGGCTGACTTCAAACTCCAGGCGATATTCCTGCCTCAGCCTCCCTAGTGCTGGGATGTCAGGTGTGCTCTATCACACCTGGCTTTTACATTTTATTTTAATGCAAACTCTCATTTATGGTGCCCAGGTTGGTCTTCAACTTGCAATGACTGCCTCAGCCTCCCACATAGCTGGGATTATGCCTGTGATCACAGAGGAGCATAACCAGCCCAGAGCCGGTTGGCACTGGCACAGAATGCTCTGTCTCCTGCCTCCTTGTCCAGGCTTCCCTTCCTGGGCCTGGTTCTCGCTGCTTTGCCCAATCCCAGCCAGCTGGGTGGGGAGAGCGTATGTGGTGCCACAGCAAAGGGGAGGCTGGGGGTGCATCCCCACCCAAGGTCAGGAGGCCAGAAGTGGTCTCACCTTGGTGGGGAAATCCCCATCGTGGAAGCTGAGGAACTCCGTCTGGAGCCAGCTGGAGACCCGGGTGTCCTCACAGCCCTTTGTGGCCAGCCGGGCACACCAGAAATCCATGCGGAGTCCACCGTACAGATCCAGCCCATAAAAGCGGCCAGATTCCAAGGACGTTGCCTGGAGCATAGGACAGGAAAGGCCTGTGTCCCGCCTGAGGCCTCGCAGCCTCCCAGAGCGTTTGCCCTTGCCCTGCTGCAGGCTGCCCCACGGGTACCTGGGTGCCCATGGACATGGTCTGGGCCGTGAGCAAGGAGCTGATGAAAGGTGTCTTGTGGGATGCGTCACACTGCTGCCGCTGCAGGTTGGCCTCCGAGTGGCACTGCTCCAGCTTCAGAGAGCAGAAGGCGCACAGGGGACAGAGGGCCATGTGTCGCCGTCCGAGGTTGTCACAGACCTGGGGCACATGCGTAGGTGAGGCTAAGGCGGGACTCAGACCTGTCCCCTCCTGCACCTCAGCCTTTCAGAGTGCTCAGGGGCTAAGTCTCTGGGCTGCCTCCTCTGGGCTCTTCCCAGGCCTTGCCACCTCCTGCCTCCCTCTCCAAGGTCGTCTCTCCAGGGGCCTGGCCTCCTCCATCACCCTCCTCCAAGCTTTTATCTGCTCCTCAGCAGTCCTCATCTGTCTGAAGGTGACACCCAAATTCCTGTCACCTCCTTGCTAAAAGCCTGACAGATATTTAGCTCTGTTCATGCTAAAGCTAATATTTATGGAGGGGACAAGCTTCCAGCACTATGGTCATCCACTCTTGTCTCATCTAGTCCTCTTAAGAACCCTGTCATAGGGGCCAGGGAGATGGCTCAGTAGAATAAGCGCTTGCCTGGCAAGCGCAAGGGCCTGAGTTCAATCCCCAGTTCTGCCAAAAAAAAAAAAAAAAATCCTGTCATGGTGCAAGTCAACATGGATGAGGAAACTTAGTGGGCCTAAGTACATCGTTCAAAGCAACACACCTAACAGGTGTACCCGGGTGTGAGGCAGGGGAAGCCTGAGCTCAAGAGCAATTAGGGGAATTTAGCAAGACCTGTCTCAAAAATGTAAAGAGGGCTGGGGATGCAGCTTAGTGGTAGAATGCTTGAGTCTCATGAATGAGGCCCTGAGTTAAATCCTTAGTAGGGGGGGGGGAATATATGAACTTGGGACACAGATCCAAGTCCTTCAAGATCTGAAGCTTATGTTTTGCCAAGGAGCTGGTTAAAAACCTCCCAATTTGCTGGCCAAGATGGCACATACCTGTAATCGCAGCACTCAGGAGGCTGAGGCAAGCAGACCACCACCAGCCTGGGCTACATAGTGAAATCAAGGTCAGTGTGAACTACATAGTGAGACCTTGTCTTAAAAAAAAAAAAGAAAAGAAAGAAAGAAAAAAGCAAACAAAGAACCCCCCACAACCCTGTAGGTTCTTGGAAGATCTCAGAATGGGAGAGGAGCTACTCCTCTGGCTGGACTCTGCCCTGGCGAGGTTCTGCAGTACTGTGAATAAGCAGCGCCTCAGCCAGGCCGGTGGTCCTCCTCCTCCCCTGTGGGGCTGGTCTGTGGCAGTGCCTGAAATCTCTTACCTCACTGAGCCCTTTTATTTATTTATTCGTATTTTTTAGGGAAGGGTCTACAGGGTGTCCAGGGTTTCACTCCTCGATCAGACTTGGAGTGATCCGCCTGTTTACAGCCTCCCAAGAGCTGAGATGAAAGGTGTGTGCCACCAGGCCTAGTCTTGAGCCCTTTTATAATGTTTTGAAGACAGGGTCTTGCTAAGTTACTAAAATGGTCAGGCTGGGCTTGCACTCGCGATCCTCCTGCTTCAGCCTCCCAGCATGCTGGGATTACTACAGGAGTCCACTGCCTCACCTGGCAACCTGCTTACTCTTTACAGAAGCACACAAAGGGCACACTAGCATGTCCCCAACTCAAAACCTCTATCAAATTCCTCTTGCTTACCAAGTTAAATATAAATGCCCTGCTCCAGGTAAAATGGACTCCACTGTTCTCTCACACAAAACATCTGGGAAGTGCTCCTTAGGACCACCAACCTGTTTTCATTTTTCACTTTACTCATTTGGGCTGAGGACCAAACCCAGGGCCTTGTGCATGCTAGGCAAATGCTCCCTTGTTGAGCTATACCATAGCTACTTTTATTTCATTTTGAGACAGTTTTCTAAGTTGCTCGAGCTGGTTTCAAACACAGGATCCTCCTGCCTCAACCTTCTACTAGATGGGATTAGAGGTGTATACTCCCATGCTCGGCTTTTCCTGCTAGCTGGGATTAGAGGTGTATACTCCCATGCTCGGCATGTTATATTTTTACGTAGTTAATGATTTGGAGATTGGACCTAGGACCCTCATAATGCACTACATTCTGAGCCTCCTTTTAAATTTTTTTTTAATTAATGTATTTACAATTTGTCTATAGGGTCTTACTACACAGATCAGACTCATAGTAATCCTCCTGTTTTCAGCCTCCCAAGTGCTGGGATTACAGGTATATGCCACCACATCCAGTCTCAGTCACTGTCTCAGCATGCCCCAGGGACAGGGCCAGTACGGCTTGTGGTGCTGGGGATTGAACCCAGGCCCCTACATCTGCCTAAGCAGGCGCTTTAATCTGCTGAGCTATTTGGCTGGCCCTAATTTTTTTTTTTTTAATTTTGAGACAGTATAAATCACCAAATTTCCCAGGCTAGGCTTGAATTTTTATTTTATTTTATTTTATTTTTTAATTTAAGGGAAGGGTCTACAGGGTGTTCAGGGTCTCACTACTAGATCAGATTCACAGTGATCCACCTGTTTACAGCCTCCTAAGAGCTGGGATTACAGGCCTGTGCCACCACGCCCAGTTTCAATTGCCATCTCGGCGTGCCCTGGGGGCAGGGCTGGTGTGGCAGGCCCAGGACCGAATCTGGGCCCCTGTGCCTGCTTGCAGGAGCTTTAATCTGCTGAACTATTTGGCTGGCTTTCTAGGCTTGAATTTGTGATTCTCCTGTCTCAGCCTCCCATAGTGCTAAAAATATAAGTATGCACCTCTACTCCTAGCTCTTGTGTGTCTCTAAAAATGTTTCTCTGACTCCCATCCTACTCCTTCTTTTTTATTTTTAAATTTTATTTACTTTGCGTGTGTATGTGTGTTCAGGGTCTCTGTAGCTTGAACTCATAGTTATCCCCGTTTTCAGCCTCCCTAGTGCGGGGATTGCAGGCACGTGCCACCATGGCCGGACTCCATCACCTGCTCAGCACATCTAGGAGTGGGGCCGGTGCAGTATGGGTGCCAGGGATTGAACCCTGGCCCTTGCACTTGCCTAAGCAAGCTCTTAGTCTGCTAGGCTATCTCACCAGCCCTTCATCCTACTCCTTCTATAATATTTACCAAAATGAACCTTTTCTGTCCTTTAAAAGCAGAAAGAATATGTCCATTTAAGTTCTTCATGAAATTTCAATTTGTTCTTGTTTCAGGGCCTTTGCGCCACCAGGAAGAATCTCCCACCAGCCCCTTCTTCTGCCTGCTTAACTCCTATCTTCCAGGTTCCATGCCTCTGTGGAGCCTTCTGTGACCTCCCCAAGTCCAGCACAGTCCTCCTGGCACATGCACACCCATCTATTTTCTGTGTGCCCCAGCGCTCTCCTCACACTGTGCTGCCTGTGTCTTCCTCCCTCCCCGACCAAATCCCCACAGAACACCATTTGCCTCTCAAGTACCTAGGAGGGATGTGGTTCCCCAAGGATTGTGAACAAATGGAAGAAGGTAGGTGTCCAGCTCTCAATAAATACTTGCTAATTATTATTTGAAAAATTAGGAGCTATGGTGGTGCAGGCCTGTAGTCCTAGCTACTCAGCAGGCTGATGCAGGAGGAGCCTGGATAACACAGTGAGACCCATCTCAAAACTACAGCAAAAGAAACCCTGCAGATTGCCTAGAATGCATTCCATGACCCTTCTTGAGAGGAGAGCTATGTTTCAGACACAGCTAAGTACTGGACTGAGGGGTGAGATCCAGCAGGACTGGATTCCAAAGTAGGTGATTCCCTTCTCGTTTAATGTAGGAGAGGCCCTTCCAAAAAAGGGTGCCCAACTCAGATGGACTCTCTCCAGCTGGCCCTCTCCAGTGCTGAGCAGGACAACCAGAGCTGTGCTAACTGAAAGGCTGCAGGCTTACCGACTTCCCAAACCCGAAGGTCTCCTCCTCCACGTGCTTCCAGGCCCTGGCTGCGGGGGTCAGGACACAGCTGTTCATCACGATGGAATAGCACAGCACCAGCAAGGCTTCCTTGTGAGGCAGCTGCAGAAGGCTGCAAGAAGACAGTGCTGGTGGGGATGGGCTGGGGCTGAGGCAGAAAACTCCTTGGTTCCCTGAGCAGCTGTTCCTGGTCACGCACATTCAGCATGCTTATCAGGCCCTAAGCAGCCCTGGGCTAAATGCCTCCTCTTGTAAATGAGGAATTGAAGGGCTGGGAGTGGGGCTGCACGCCTGTAATTCCAGCGCTGGGGAGGATGAGGCAGAAGGATCACCACGAGTTTGAGGCCAGCCTGGGCTACATAGTGAGACCCTGTCTCAAACAAACAAATAAGCGGTGGGGGGGG